AATAAAAATCAATTTCTCATTGCAGACCTTCCTCCCTCTCCTTGGGGACAAATTAAACTGAGCTGCCGAAGTTTCAGGCATAGCTCTAAATCCAGCATCCTTTGCTTCTGGGTGGATTCTACATTCTACAAATTATTTCTTCCTGGGAAAGTGTCTCAGATTCGTATTAATGAGGATTCCATGTTTGTGGTTAGGAGAAATTTGGTCTTGTGGCTTAAGCAGCCTCAGGACTCTCATTACACACGAGAGGTTAATAATCTAAACTAGCAGTTAACTAGCTCTGGTCAGCCGAGCATTACTGCTTTTGGCTCACGCTGACTGAGCTTGTCTCCTGCCCTCTGCAGTGCCTGAGATGCAGGTGAGATGCAGATGAGATGCAGATGAGATGCAGGAGGCCAAGCAAGGCTGGCTGCAGGTCAGCCCAGGTACCTGTCTGTATCAGTAGGAATACATTCCTCTTTTGGGAAAGAGCTGGAAAGAAACAGCGCAGGTATTCCTGACATTGAGCAATTGCTGCTGAAACGAGAGGGCACTCACAAATTAGCTCTATCCTTCTGCACCCTGTGGAAACTTTAGTTTTAATTGCACAGACTCCAAGCAGATTAAAAAGAAGCAACCAAATCAGTTATCAGGCTGAGTTCCTACAGTATCCTGACAGCTGGAGGCCCCAGAGGCCTGGAGGCTCTGCATCACCCCCTGCTTCAGCTGCAAGAAGTAAGGACAATTTTAATCTGCAAGTGGTCTTTGTGCAGTTATGGATCAAGCTCTGTTCCCAGTGGAAAAAATAGGGCATGATCAAATATTACAAACTATGGTTCACTTTTTCCAATCTGTTTTATTTCAAGGATACAGTTTATTTAACACAGTGTCTCTTGTTGGAGCATCAATTAGCTCAGAATATCCAGAGAATTGCTTGTAGTCTCACTGAATTTTGTCTGAGAACAAGCATATGAGAAACCCAGAATGCTATTCTGTAAAACCCAGCAGAAGCACAGTCTGCCTGGAGAGACGTGTCTGAAAGCTTTCACTGGCACAGCACCATATGCTGCCCATGCCATCCCGTCCCACCCCTGCCAGCAGTCAGCACAACACTGAGAAGCTCAGCCACACGCTCCCAATTTCCTTGCATTGCTGGGTTGATTACCTGCTGGGTTCCATGACAGTGTGATGCTTCACTGCCTGCACTTTGCATGGGACTGCAGTGCTGGGAGCAGGGGCAGCTCCAGGGCTGCTCACAGAAGCAGAAGTGCCCAGGGTGCACAGAACCTGCTGGTTGTGCTGCGTGGGCCCATCCTGGAGCCCTCTGTGTATCAGGGAAGCCGTCTCCGCACTGGCAGCTCCCCTTGGGAAGAGGTGCCTGGGACTCCAGCCTAGCCATACATCTCTGTCAAAATCTCTATGAATAAATTAACCTTTTTAAAGATTAGTGCACCCTAATACCTCAGGGTTTTTTTCTTGTTTTTTTAACAGAACAAATGCTAAAAATGCCTTGACAGACCTTGCTAGGTTTTGTGCTGTGGATCTTCTATGAAGGATTATGCTGGGAATAGTTTTAAAGGCACAGCCAAGTGGTTCAGAAGAGCACTGACTTGTGTCCTCCTTTGGAGCAGGGCATTAATCCGTGGCAAAGCATACGATTATGAGCAGGAAATCTTCATTAGGGCATAATAGAAAAAGCTAATGAAAATCCTCATGCATTTCCTTCTCAAACACCTCAAATTCAAACATCTCGCAGTGTTTCACAGCTGTTAGTGCACCAGAGCAGAGAAATTATCTGACTTGAGCAACTTCAAAGACGTTGGTGGCCACAGATGATAGCTCCAAGTTCCAAATTAACCCGTGAGACGTTGGGTTCAGAGTCAGCACCCCAGCCTCTGGCTTGAAGCCTTCGGCCTCTTCATCCTCACTCCATCCCATCCTGTGGCAGAAGGGCTGTGGGGTTGTGGACCTGCCCTGCTCCCTGCCACCGCGCCGTGGAGCCGAGCTGAGCCTCTCCAGGCACTGGGCAGGGGGGGCCATTCCAGAGATGGCAGGGAGTGTTTCGGTTTTTGATCCTTTTGAGATGAATTATGGGGAGGAAGCTGTCTGCTATCAGAGGAATTAGTCAAATTCCTTGTCAGATGTGCAATCCCATTAAAAATGCATTATCTGTTTTCAAAGCTTAAGTATGGGTGTTGGTTGAGAGTCTTTAAAATATTATTGTAAACTTTCACTGAGAAAAAGTATTCCTGAGTCTTTCATGGAGGCTAATCCCACTTCAACTACCTTAAACCATCAGCTTCTGGGGTGGCCTTCCCAAGCACTGCGAGGCGAGAGCATGCAATCGTTCTGGGAAAATCCTCCTGAAGATGCATGCATTGCTTTCACAACTTTGTTAGCAGCTCTCAGCATTCAGCTGATGTGTTCTCACAATGACTCTGTATCTGCATGCCTCCTCAAATTCTCCCTTTGCTTTTCTGTCTGGAGCACAGAGTTCAAAAAGCCATCTGCAGCCAGGTCTGAATGTGCCCTGCAAAGAGTAAAACTCAGAGTACTCAAATGTGCTTACATGTACCTGCTTGTAAACTGAACAGTGAAAAGTAGGCTGGAGGAGCCTCGGTCAAAACTTTGAAGTGTGTATGTGTGAAAGAAAGCCACGTTTTTCTGCAGAGAATGAACAAGATGTCCAGAAGCATGCAACGTTATTCACTTTTTGAAAGACATTCCTTGGGATTCTCTTCTTAAATATATCTGCACCGATGGCACCTGAACTCGTCTTTCAGTAACTCCTGGTTGCAGAATCACACACTCTTCCTAGATTTTCTGCTCATATTGATAGGATTTCCAGGAAAATCTCATAGGTTGTTGGTGTCTCTCACTGACTTTAACAACCAGAATGTGCCCCTAGTTGGATTTCCAGTGGCCAGAGCCGATCACCAGCAATGTTTCCTGGCCAGCTGATGCCATTCTGTGGATTATTCACCCAGATTTTGCTCAGTTGAATTACTGGTGCATGAGAACAATGGCATTTGCACCACCTCTATTTGCAGCACAGCATTTCATTCTTACACTGAACAGTTGAACTCAAGAGCTGAACTTCAGAGCGAGGAGGGATGATTTACCATAGCCCAGCTACTTTGTTCACCACTCACTATGAGTGTCTCTCATTCTGCACGGTCTCTTTAAACCTGTTGTCACTGCATCATCTGAGCACACAGCTAAGAATGTGCTCATCAGTCTGTACAATGAAACAGTGTGTTATAGTGATAAGAAGTTGGGTGCTCATCCTTTCAAAGGAAGGAAGCAACCTCAGCTGGCAGGGGACTCTGCTAGGAGTGACACACACTGACACGCTTCGTGCTGCTTTGTTTTTCTGTCCCATGAGCAGAACTGGCAGAAAATAGGCAAATTCCTCTGCTCTGGCTACAGGCTCTGGCACTGCATGGGCCCTGTGTTCCTGCCTGCTGCTCTGTTAGTTTCCATCTCACTGCCAGTGATGGGGCACAGCCTGGCACTGAAGTACCAGTACTTATCAGTCGAATTGCCGTTAGCTATCGTTGCCCATCCACTTGTTAAAATATTTCTCAGACAACAAAGTATGAAGGCAGCACGCACACATCATAAATATTTGGGAATATGCCTCATATTTGAAAGCCATTAAGGGGCTTTGATTTTATTTTGGTGGTGGCTGAACTCCCTGGAGATGATCCTGGGACCTGCAAACAAATGCTGCAGATTGAGGTAAATGGTGCGGGAAGGTGAAAAGCAGCTCTGCTTCTGCTCTGGGCAATCCCTGTGGGAATCCAGCCCTCCATTTCTGACCGAGAGTTTCAGGACAGTTTCCCTCTCTCTTCTGATCAAAGCAGAGCACACGTGGTCCTTATGTGTCCAGCAGCCCTGTGCAGTGAGTACTGCCTGGTGCAGCTGCACTGCGGCTCATGTTAGTATTCTGAACAGAGATGGTGGTGGCACTTTAACATTTCCTTTGCTAGAATAGATTTATCTCAAAATTTTATGTTATTTCAACAAAACCGAGTGTTTACCATAAATAGTGGGGCCTGCAGAAAGCTTGTTGCAGCCCTGTTCCTACTGGGAAGCAGCAGTACCTCAAGCCTGAACTAATTTAGGAGGGTATTGGCCATCTGATTTTAATATTAACAAGCACAGCAAGTTTGTGAGTGGGTCGCTGGCCAGTTTCATAGAGAGGGGCACCTGCAATCGATCAACGCGGCTCATGCAACAAGGTGTCGATGCACAGGAGGAATAATAACACGTATCCGGTGTGTACAGGGATCACTCAGCTCGTGGGGAGGTGTGAACATGCAGGAGAAAAGAAAACATTATGGCAAAACATTTCTATCTGTTGGTTTTGGTCAGCACCAGAGTGACTCTCAGTGATGTGGGAGATGCGGGGCAGGATGGGGCAGGCAGCAGGCAGGCGCGGTGCAGCTGTGGCCCTTTGTGAAGCAGGAAGGTTGCAGTTGCGTGGAGACTGTGAAAGTCTAAATGCAAATGGTTTTTAAAACAGGCATGGCAAGCACAAGGACCAGCCCAAGAGTTGGCAAAGGGATCTGGGTCCTTGACTCCCTTGTTCTTAGGGGGCTCAGTGGACGGCCCACATCTTGGACACATCTCACGGTTGGCCATCGTGGTCCTGGCATCGCAGGGAGCCTGAACTCTGCTGGGAAAGAGCTGGGAAAAACCTCCTGGTCCAGCCTTCCCTGCAGGGTTAGGATGTGGCGGACTGTCACAGAGCTTTGGCTCTGTCTGAAGGGCACAGGGCACCTCCTGATCTTTCCTTCCCCTCTGACACATCTGGAGCTGCTATGTCCCACTTTGGCTGCTTTGTCCAACCTTCCCTCTGCTTTATTTATCATGCTGCAAGTCCTGACTTAGCAGAATATGCATGCTCTAATTCAAGTTGCCCATATGTGCTATTGGCAACATGTGCTAGCTTTATTGTCTTACTCGCATGCTTTTCTGCAGATCTGAAATAACACTGATCTTTTTTCTCCCTCCAGATGAAAAAACCCTGAGCCTACACTCGGCCTTGCCAGTCGCTGTTTCCTGTCACTTGTGATGGCCTCTTCCCAGGACGTAAGAAAATAACCTTGTGTATTTTTTACCAATGGTAATCTGTTGTTTTGGCATTCTGTGAATGACTGGTTTCAGGCGATCCTGTCAGTATACCTTGCCAGCAGCCAGGTTTTGGATGTTTGCTTTGGGAACATTTTGTGGTTGAATGGCTGTGTTCCATTCCACATGTAAACATGGGCAAAAACTCATATTTAACAGTTCTAAACAGTTGGACACTGGTCAAAGAGGCTACCCTCCCCCTTCCCTTTAATGCATTGAAATTTTGCATAAAGTACAGTACAATTTAGTAGCTGGAATGTCCAGGTCCTGCCAAATGTATGATTTTGTTTTATTTTATTTTTAAAAATGCTTAGCACAAAGACTGAGCCTTTATTTGGAAGGAGATGTCAGGAAAGCAAAGCTTAATTGAATCTCAGACTGTACAATTGGAGTCATGTCTAAAAGGAAAGCTGTCTTTTCCCTCAGCATGCACTTGAACTGGAGGCCAGTTTCCACTCTCATCTGCATGAGTTTAAACCGCATAACTCTGCATGTGGCTGCGCCAGTGTTGCTTGGGATTAGAACTGGGTCCTCAGCTATTTCAAGCTTTGTTTTTACTTTCTTAGACCTGTGATTGATTACAAGTATGCCAGTCTGGTTTCTTGCCTTGGCCACTCAGAAGAGTCTGGCCCCAGCAGCAGGGCCTGGTGTGTGCTCAGCACTTTCGCAATCCACACCTGTGCTCATGCAGAGATCTGTGCATCCCTTGAGAAACGTTTCCCTGTAGTGCAAGGAGCCTGTGGCAGCCCTTTGCCTATGGGCAGTTCTGTCCTGTGGGGACCTTCGAACCATCTGGTGAAGGCCTCTTCCTCAGCTCTTCAGATGATGGAACCCATTTTGCACATGGAGCCCCATGTCATAGGGCTGGAGCCTGCCAGCTGCTCCACAGAGCTCTTACATCTCTGGTTCCCAGCACAAGTCATAGAATGGCTTGGGTTGGAAGGGACCTTCAGTTCCCCAGTCTGTCCATCAGGCTTTTGTTGCAAAGCTCTGTTGCAGTTCTTGGGGAGGATTTTTGCTGTACAGAAAACGTGAAAAACATTCGTCCCACTAGGTCTGATGATGTGAGTGCTGTGCAGAGGGCTGTTTAAAGGGTGCTGAGGATAAAAAGGTCTTTGTTTGGAATCAAACGTAGCTGTGGTCAGAATGGAGAAGGAAGCAGGTCTTTTCCTGCCTCGTGGGTATGGGGCAGAAGATGAATATGTTGGGCTCAGTGTGCTTGGGCTACATTGCCTTATATCCCATATTGTTTGGTCAGAACCAGCCCCATAAGCACATAGCTCACGCTCCTCTTGCACACTCACTGTGCACACACACTTGTGCTGCTTCTGTCCTCACACGTGTTTGTGATGAACTGACATCCATTGTGTAACAAATCCCGCTATTTCTGCAGCCATTTTAGCTCCAAGCAGGCCATTTAGGACTCTGGAAATAGGGGCTTTTCTAGTAAGGGATCCAGGAACAGCATAGCTTTTCAGGCATTTGCTGTGTCAGGGCACCTCCTGGCTCACTGAATGTCCCCAGTGTATTCTATCAGCACAGTCTGTCTACCATGGTCTACCAGAGACCTCTGGTAGCACTTGTTGGTGCTCCATGGATTGTCTGATCACATGGTGCTGGCATACTGCCTTATTTCCAGCTGCTAAATTGCATTCAAAGGCCATTTAAAATACTTTCCTAATAAAACTTGCCTATAAAAATAGTTACTATAGCTGCTGCAGGGATGTTCTAGGAGCTGGTCCAAAAGACAGTCCCTACTGAGATGAGATCCACTCCACTAAAAAAGCTGGGAAATGTCAGCCTTAGCAGAAATCAAGAGCAGCAGAGAAGTGGCAGGGGAAGCGTTAATCAAGCCATGTGCTTTCTTAGTTAATGCACAGTCAGTCCTGCAGCTGATGAATAAGATAGGGAGCATGGCTTGGTGGGCAGTTTCTAAGCTGTTTAAATATGTTACAGCTTTGCTTATAAAGTAGAAGAGCTTGGATTAATTGGGTAAGTGGCACTTAGGAGACTGCAGGTTAGGAAGATGCAGAACGTGGCTAAATGCAGCTTGGGTGTTCACCTTCTTTTTTCTCATCAAATCTGTGGTTGCACTTTCCTTGTAGCTGTGGGGTTAGGACAAAGCCAATCAACTGCAGGTTTTATTGCCAGCGAGCTGAGACATGCAGCTGTTTCAATTCTTTGATCACGGAAGATAGCAGAGCAAGCAAACCCAGCGCTGATGCAAACTGCTTTTTATTTGAAAGCCCCTCGTGCAGCTGCTGGGCTCCCTGGAGGTGGCAGGGGAGGGCTGGCAGCCGCTGGCAGTGCCTGCAGCAGGTATGCTCACAAACCTCCTGGCCAGGTGGGTCCCCTCCTCCTTCTGCTGTTTCATGCCGGTGCCCAGCAGTGCGCTTCTTAGGAGCGAGCTGCTCCGTAGCCAGAGGAAGCTCTTGGAAGCTGGCATGTTCAGACTCGGTTTGCCTTGTTTCCCTTCTCGTGGGCAGGAAGCATATGTGTCCACCTCAGCCTTATCTCACCAGCTAGCTCCATGCTTTCACTTATCCTTCCTTTATCATTACTCTGTCAAGGCAAACCCTTCCAGGACTTTCTGACTCACATCCTGAAAACCTCTTTTTTTTTCTTCTTAGAACTTTGGCCCAAGATAGAGAAATTTTTTTCTTCGTATTTGGACATGCCTGGTGCATATGCCAGATACTACAAATAGCCCAATCTCTCTCCCCTTTGTCAGGCAGCATCTGGACTTTTTCCTTCTGTGTCATTGCCATGTAGACATTGGCTGGACTCTCTGCTGCATAATGGGTAAGAGCAAAAGAAAGGAGTGTCAGGGAGCCAGTCCCACCGTGCAGCTTGATTCAGGGCTGGATGCTGTCTTGTGTTTTGCAGTGGGAATTTAAGGGCTAGCATTCAGGCACTCTTTATTTCGAGACCTAAGCCCATAGTGGTGATGCAAGTAGTGGGACTGGTAGTTCTGAGGAGCAGAAGAGAACCTTCCCCCTAACAGCAGATTTCCACAGTGAGCCACAGATTGATGTCAAACACCCCCCACCAGCTGCCTGCCCCCAGAACCAGCGCCTTGTGCTGCAGTGGAAGCAATGCCTGGGAACCTTCTGGGTCGATGCTGAAATAATGAAAGAGATGGAGCAAAACAATATGTGGGTTCTGCATCCTTGGAATGGTCTCTGGTGCTCTGCCTGCAGATTCAAAGTATCTCACCCAGGGATGTTAAAATGTTGGTCGCCAGTGTCTGATTCTGCTTTCTGGGAATGTCTCCTTCTTTAGTTTATTAATCTTAAAAAACATCACGTTGCATAAGTGGTCTTTTTTCATTTTTATTTCTAAATGAAAGCTGTAACATGGAAAGTGTTGGGATTTATTTATTTTTTTTAAAGTGAATTTTAAATAAAATATAAGAATGACTTTCAAGCTTCTCTAATTCAGGTGCAGGCATTTGGAATATTTATCCATTCCGTCCTGATTCTTCATGTTCCATAAGTGTCATGGCATCACTTACAATGCACATCTTCACTGTGCATTACAGGAGTGTGATACCTCAGACCTGTGGGACTGTTATCTCAATAAAGGCTGTGTATGGCTGACCTAATTTCAAGTATCAGAATTAAGAGCAAAATCACTTTACTCTAGTTGACACTTTTTAAGCACTTTTTAAGAAGTGACAGCAGATGTTTAGGAACCCCTCTGCAGGTTTGCCCTTCCAGTCCAGGAATGAAGCCTGTATGTGTTCTTGTCCTCATGTCCTTATAACAGTCTTTGCCAGTAGGTGGGGTTCCAATCCTATTAAAAAACCTGGGAAGCTTGTGTATAAAGGCTCACTGCTCCTGCACTTCCATACACAAGCTGGCCACATCTGGAAATGTTTGATTTGATATAGTGTCGTTTTACATTGCAGAAATGAGCGTAAGCGGTTTTTTAACCCACCAAGTGAGAAATGTGATCTGGGTTTTACTACCGACCCTTTAAATAAAAAACAGATCGCTTATTAAACCATTATCTATCAAGGATATGGAGAGAGTTAGAAATATCCCAGGATCAGAACCGAAATTGGAATGGACACATTGCTGTCTACTGTCCGATCCCAGCCGTGCAGGAGCAGGCTGAAATGCTTCGTGTGGGGAAAGGATCCAGCCCTGACCCTGCCCTGCATCTGCCTGCTGTGGCAGGGCACTGCTCATAGGAAATCACTGAAACTCCTCACGGTGTAACTTGTTCTCAAGATCTGGATACTTCTTGTGCAGCAGTTGATCAGGGGATGCTGATGGGGTCCTTAGAGCCACCAGCCTGTTCACAGCCACATCCTCTGTGCAAGCAGAGACACTCAGTGGGCCAAGCTCCTTGCCAGCAAAATAGAATTCAGAGATTCTGTGCTCCTATTTGCCAGCTTTGCCTCCTGCGTGTATTTTTGCTTGAAAAAGAATTGCAGCTAATGTGGAGCTCTGGGCTCCAGCTTAAGGGATGCGTGCTGGTGAGCACAACCCATTTGTTTGCACGTTCAGTTTGAGTGAACGCCGCTTCCGTGCTGGTAGGGGCACATCCCTCTGGCTTTGATAGAGCCCACGTGAGCGAAACCAGAAGGATTTGAGTCCCTGTGAATTATGACAGTTGGCATCTGATATGAAACAAAGATCAGATCTGAGATGGATTTTTGCCATCATGTTGCATTTAAAAGCTCGTATTACTTTGGTTGTATTACATTGCATCACACTCGACCGAGTCAATGTGTCATAAAGCTGCCTAATGTAATTGTACACTGCATAAATGCAACAGAATGCCTTCAAAAAGTGATATTTCATGCTTGCTAGCTAACGCCTCGACAAAGATTAAATCCATGAAAAGTAAGTATGTCCAATTGTTGGTTTGGATCAGCAAATAATTCATTACCCACATTATCTTTTTCGAAATGTCACTCTGTGTTGTAAATCACCAAGGCCCTGCCTAAAATGCCAAGACGGAGTTTTTTTCAAAGAACAAATTAAATTTTAGGGCCAATTCAGGGGCGGATTTCTCTTGCAGCAGCACTGCCCATCTCCAAAGGTGAGGTACCCACCTGGCGCATTGCCTTCCTCTGCTGGGGCACAGCTCCTCCAGGCCAGCCCCTGGGCAGTGTCCATCCAGCAGCATGGGGTTCTGCCATTCTGCTGCTACAATCAGCAGGAAGGGAACATCTCTGCATCGTTCAAACTCACGGTCTGTTGTTGGCAGGAATGTCCAGGAGCCACGTTTGCTGCAGACAAAGCAGGATTTATTTCCTGCATTAGTTAATGGCACTTCCTTTCCCCAGCCAGCATTGGGACTGGAGGGTACAAATCTCAAACAGAGCAGCAAAACTCTAGTAACATTTTAACAGGATTTATTAACTTTATTTGCTTGAATAAACATTGGGATCCTCAAGCACTTTTTATTCTGAAGATTAACAAAGAAGATGGTTGCCTGATGCTGGGCTTTCAGCATCTTGTGGGCACCTTTCTCCAGTTCCTTTACACGTCTCAACGCAGATCATCTATTGGGTCCCATGAAGGACATCAGCCCCAAAGTGCACACCTGTATTGCTGAGTGACAAAGCTCGTGGATAACACAGTATTTCCACAGCTGGGTTGTAAGCTGCTCACTGTCTCATAGGTTCAAAAGATTCCACGCGCCCGTAAATCTCCACGCCATCAGTGTACAGTGGTACAAATTTGCAAGATATTTGTACAGCACAAATACAAATTTCATGAGTAATATTTTTATCACGCAGAGAGGAAAACAGCACACACCTTAAATGTAAGCATCAATTTGGATGAAGTAATATTGGAATTCGTGTACATACATAAAATTTTATAGCTATTATTTAATGCTTGTTACACCTCAGTTCCTATCTGCGCATGGAACTTGTTTGCTCTTTATGTTCCTGTGTGTACTTTGCATTCAGTTTCTGACATCTCTCTAGAGCTATTTGCCTACCCAGGTAATGAGCTGTTTCACATTTGGTGCCAATTAGGAGACATTCCAGGCTACTGATACAGTTACAAATGTTGATTCTCAGAAATGTGTGAAATGTGTGGACCAGATTCTGATCCATTCATTCTAAAGCACAGCAACACCAATAACTTCAGATGAGTCATTCTTGATTTATGGATATGATTTGTACACAATAAAAGAGCCTGGCCCTCGCTATTTCCCTGCTGCAGTGGTGTTTGCTTTGGGGGGCTCATTACACCACAGGCTGCTGCTTGCTTAGGGTTGATTGTGAGCTCATGGACCAAATGCACACCTGAACGTATCCGAATGTTTATGAGAAAGGATTGGGCTTGGAGCATGGGGCTCACAGTTCACCTTCCTACCTGCAGTGATCATAGGCAAAGTGCTGAACCTATCTATTCCATTTCTGCAGTAGATACAATTTTTGTCTTTACAAAACTCACAGTGATTGCCCAATAATTCTGATTTTTGAAACAATCCCAATGTCTTGGTTGAAACTTTTCCATTTTGAACAATGTTTTTATGCTTCTATTGAAAGAAATCAACAGACTGCTTGTGAAAGAAAACACTTCCAATTCCATATGGAAAATGACTGAAGGGGATGTACAAATGCAAGATTGCCTGCTGAAACATTAACAGATTTGTCACACTGTTAGACTCAGAGCCCTACAAAGATGAGAAGAAAGCGGTTCTGTGTGGAGTTGGAACTCCTCGCTGTCTGCAGGGCCGTGCAGAATGCTCAGCTGCAGTGTTCTTGTGCCTTCCCAATTCCTTGGTGCTTATTTGCTACTGAAAAGTCACCTGTTAAGGACATATACTGTGTCTAGATGTTATAATGAGGAAAAAGCAGGGAAATCAGAGCATTCTGGAGCATACCCCACTACATGTGCATGACTAAAGATACATAACTTCCATGCTGAAGCTGTACTTTGATCTCAGGGTATTCCCCTTTAATTTGTTTTGTTAGCTTTTATCCCAAAATCTTTCTGCCTGGAAACTGGAGTTTTCTGCACACACCGTAGTCCATGTGTGCAGCATGGGCCAAAATGGGCCAAGGCTGAAATCCACATCCTGCAGAGCTGTCCTTTGGTTTTGGGTGTTACTTTTTTCTTTCTTTCTGTGGCGTTCCAGTTCTGATCCTATCTGCTAATATCAGTTTGATGTCCCAACTTTTCCTTGTTAGCACAGGGAAATCATAAGCTCGTAGTGAGTGATAGCCAGTGGGCCTGGGATTGATTACAAACAAAAATCCTAGATAAGATCATAAATTTAACCCATCCCTGTGATGTGATCGTATCGGGATTCAAGTACGTCTAAAAAGTTGTTTCCGATTTTCAGCCACTTCATCTGGTTTCCATCCACCCCAGCTGGGAGCAAAGTGCTCTCCTAGTGGACGCTAATCCATGCCAGCCTGACTTGGAAGAAGCCCTTGTTTCTGTTGTTATTGTATTATAAAAGTGGATAGAAATGATTTAGACAAGATGGCCATTTCAAGGAGGATCAGTTCAAACACTGCTGAGATAAAGCCGACAGGATAACAAGGAAGCAGGGCTGCCTCCCCACCTCCTTACTTGCCTCCCCATTCCTTTCCTGAGGTGTAGATGCATTTAAACGATTTCAAAACGGTGTTTTTAACACCCTGAAAGTAATGGAGAACTACTAGAGATAAAGCCAGCACTTCATTAAGAGGAGCAACCGAAGCGACACGTGGCCAGGCTCAGCAAAACCCAGCACTGCAGTGCTCAGTGCATGCAGCTTCACTTTGGGAAGAGACATTTGCTCAGATATTGGGCATCTGGGGAAGAGATATTTGCCTCCCTGCTGGCACTTGCTGTCAGTCTGTCTGTGTGTGTATCATACCTCCGAGCTGCTGCTTGCCCTGCTGTAAGGTTCTGCTGTCTGCAAGCAGGCTGCTCCCTGCTCCTTCCAGCCCATGCTCTCCCATCCATCCCTCGCCCCTGGTACCAGGTGATTTAATGTTACTGTGGCTTTAACGGCCTCCTCGCTGCTCTGGCTACACAGTAGTTGTCTCCTGTGTGACTGTGCCTGGGAAAATCTATTACTGGAGTGCCATTAATCTGAGGCTGCCGCCTCTGGCACTTTCTGACTCTTCTATTTAATGGGCCTCTGCTTCCGGAGCTCTGGAGACATGCTGTTTTCCTCTCTTGATCAGCTTTGTTTAATTATCAAAATATTTGATGCAGAAAATTGACATTAGTTGTGAAGGTTTCTGCCTTCCTCTTCCTCGCAGCCTCCCTCCCTGCTTTGTGGTGACATTGAGATCTTCCACACGTACCACCTTCACCTTAAAGTAGAAAACCGTGTGAGCAATCATTTGCTTGGCCGGGCAGTGAGGGCTGAGCACGGGGCTGAGGCTGTCCCTGCTGGGCACAGCAATGCTCTGGGGATGCAGGGGCACGGGGAGCCCTGCACCTGTTCCAGGCTGAGAGCATCAGCAAAGCAGAGAGGCTCTGCAGGGCTCAGCATCGCCTGCATCCCTTGGGAGCTGAGCCTCCCACTCCTGCTGCTGTCTTTAAAGCAGCAACCTGGAGGCACTGCGGGTGCTTCGGTGCCCTTTGCTTAGCACTGACCTCACTGCCACACTTGGGGGTCTCCACAGAGAGGGAACACTGAGACCTCATTAGCAGGAAAAAAGACTGCTGGGGAGGAGACAAACTCAAAGAAGTTCTTAGCACTGGATGTTCTTAGCTGCTGGAATGACCACCGAAAGGAAGTGGGAGTTTCTCTGTGCTTGAAGTCTCTAAATTGAGAGACTGGATGCCACTCTGGAAACTGTTCTCTTCCCAGGCATGATGGGATGAAGTTTAGTGTAGGATAAGAAGGTGAAAATGTGCTCTTGTTGTGGTCTGTGTTTCATGCTGGGCTTTGAGTCTCTGCTGTGCTCGTCCTAGCACTGCTCCTTGCAGAGGGAAAGGACTCTACCGAGGCTCTGCAATTTGTGTTTTCCTTTTTTTCCCCTTCTTTCTGCTGCCTCTCTGTAAAATGCAATGAAGTGTGAATTACTGAGATTTGGGGCTACTGGGAGGCAAAGCAGGGGAGCTATTTGTGTAAGCCCAAAAGGCACGAATGCCATGGCGGTGTTCTCTCCTCATACCTATGCCTGTCTGCTCTACAGGACTCAGTCCCTTACTACAAACACCTACTGCTCTCTCTGTCTCCACTCTGTGTGCTATACTTCCTTCACAAGACACAGGCAGGCTGTAAGGAAAGTGGGGAAAGTGCAGATGGGGCCCATAAAAGTCACCCGGTGCATTACTGTGGTGGCTTCCAACGAGTAAATCACTTTCTAGCACTAGTTATCCTCATTTACCAGCAACACCTTGGATGCTGCTGTCATGATCAAACTGAGAATAATTGGTGCTTGGTGTTTGTATGGTTTATTTGGGGTCTCATTACATATATAAATAATGAATTACTAAAATGCTCTGGGCTCAGGTTTATTAGCAAACTTTTCATGAAAGCTCCCACACTTTCTGAAATAAAGGATCAGATTGATGATTCACAAGGAGCCTGACCAGTTTCACCTGCTAATCCATAGCTGCGTAATTAAAAACAAAATCAAACGCAAAAAAAATGGAAAAAAGAAGGCAAATCTATGGCTTCTGTTTTTTTTCCTCCTGCTTACATGATTTGTTCTTGCATGGTTTAACTTTTTCAGCCTCTTACCTCTCTCTTGCATTTTTTTATATTAGGGATATTTCTGATGATGTCAGTGAAGTTACCTGCGTGCAACTGTGGAGTAATCTATTGCAGGCAGCTGTGGAGCTCTCTGGTGAGTAATGAACATGCTGCAGATGTAATTAGATTCAAATTCTTGTGAATATTCACTGTTAAAAGATCAGTTATCAGTTATCGGTCTCCACGCTGTTTGATACTCAGAAATACAAAGCTGGCTTAGTAATGTGTGCTCATTGCATCACAGATGTAAGCATAAGGAGAGGAGGATCTCTAGCTTCATTTATACTGCAAATGAAAACAATCAGAAAGATACAAACCACCAAGGTGCAAAATGAGGTTTCCAATTCATAAGCACAAGCCACCAGGAGTTAAAACCTCTTGGTTTCTTCCCATAGTGCCCCAGGCAGTAGTTTTCATATATATTTCTCCATGGTCAGAAGTCAGAGCAGACCACTGCTATGTAAGACCTTGACTTTTTTTCCCTGACAGTTACAATTATTACAGCCCGGGGGACTCATTTTCTCAGTCTGGCCACCCGCTGACCCAGCCTGCAACCAGAATACACTTTAAAACAAACAAACAACAGCTCTGCTCCCCTCTCTTTGCTTCTCCTCCCCCAGCTCTGGAATATTTTTACACTGCACCCCTTGCAAAAGGATATTAGCCACTATTGCTGAAGGCACAATCACATTATCAGCACCATTCTCTCTCTCTTTCTCCCTCTCCTCCCCCCAAAGATAAATTTTTTATGTTGCTATTTTCTTCTCTTTTGTATTTGGCATTCGATATTTACTTGATAAACTGCAGAGCTGCTACTAAATGGGCCCTGATACAACTTAATAAATACATAACAGCATCCAGACTGCGCTGTATTACATTGCTGTGTCCTGGGCTGCTAAGGATCCTTGGAGATAATGTCAGCTAAATAAAAGTTATGCCTTAGCACGGGGAAAAAAATAGACTTATTTATTCTTGAATAATTGCTTATGCATTAAATGACTGCCTCTGCTGTTGAAACGAGCTGCCTGGTATTCCTGGCTTCCCCAGTCTGTCTTTCTGAAGTGCACACATGCGCTGTGTTTCTCCCTCGCATGCACAGAGCCTTGCTGTGCTAGCATCTATTCTTCTCTGGATGAATACGTAAGTAATGCACAACTAACACATTTTTACCGGGAGATTTTCCACTGTTCTGGCCAGGAAATGTCCACAAGCAAAACCTTGACATCTGTAGGTTAAACTTTTAGAAAGAAGTCTGTGTTTGGGTGCAGTGCTGAACTGAGGAGCGATTCAGTGTGTGAGTGTGGCAAGACCCAAACACAGGGGCTGGGCCTCACTACAGAAAGATATGAAAGTAAGGAGATACAGCAAAAAGTTACAGATCAAAGCTGACATGGGAGTAACTCGCTTTCCTCTAGAAAGCACAAACTTTTCTCTGTTTTTCTGTTTCCATTGTCATATTATAATACATCTTTTATCACCAAGCTTTTAGCATCTTTAGATTCTTTTTTTTTTTTTTTTTTTTTTTTTTTTTTTTTTTTTTTTTAATACAAAGAACAGTTTAAAGCAGGTAATTGCTAATCACCTAATGCACAAAATATTACTCCCACATTTGCAAGCACTTCTCAGCTGTGGTTGAGTGATAGGAACCACCACTCAGTGTCCTAGAGAAGCACATGTGTTTCTGAGATGACCTGTTTTCCCTGTGATAACATGGGTGGAGAGGATGCTTGCTTGCTTAAACACAGACACTATAGAGGTGCATTCAGGAGTCTTTCCTATAACCTCCTCTCCACTTTCCTTTTCTAAAATGGCTGGATTTTCTTTACTGGAGTCTTTTCCAACTGAGTTCTAATTGCTGAAACCAGCAGCATAAAATACCATCAACCAAAATGAAGTGCAGCAGACTCCCACAAGCTGCAAAAACTTTGCAACACAAAGCCACCTCACAAAGAGTTTAGCTCTATAGAAACCACAGTGAATGCTATGAAGAATCCCAGAAAACTTTGCACGATGCTTCAAAATGCACCACGGGGATCCAGTGCTTGTTACCTCCTGACACCATCTTTCTGTAAGGGAAAAAGCACAGAGCGATTACCCCGGGCTCTGCGCATTCAGTGCTACTATTGCAACGTTTCACATCTCACAAAGAAGCCAACAAGGACCTTTGATTGTCCCCGTTGAAGCTCCTGGTAAGCAGCAGGTCACTTCTCTCCAGCCCTCTGAGCTGGATGTGTGGGCACTGGTGTGCCCACTTGACAGGTGACTGGGGTACCAGACGGGCTGTCAGTGCTGCTGGGGGTTATCTGCATTTAGCTGCAGGCAGGAACTGAACCACAATGAGCATTAGAAAAGCTCACTGTTCCTCGCTTGTTTAGAGACAAGCCATCTCAAACTTGTTTGAAGCCTTTTTTATTGAATTCACACTCTTGTGCCAAGCACTGAAAGATTTACTTTGGCTATTGCTGTAAGATGGAAAGCATATGAATGCGTGGCTGTCTGCCAGCCATGGGTGAGCAGTGAAAGGTCTGCCACAATGGACGGTTACATGGAACAAATGTGAATGCACCGGGCCGACGTGACTGAAGAAAGGCCTTGGCGTTCAAAGAGCTGTGTGAGGCTTTATGCAGTGACTGAGGGAGGGTCAGGAGATAACACAGCCAACCTGCAGGGTTTTCTGCCGCAGGTATGTGTGTGTGCCGCCTGCGGGAGCAGCTGCCCGGCCCTCCTTGCAGCTCCTGCAGATGCCATCTGCAAAGGCAAAGGCCCACTTGGGCTTCCCCAGTGCAGGGTGCCCCAATTGCTGTTGTGTATTCCTTGCAGATGCTGCCATAATTTTGTTGTGGTACAATTTGACATACGACTCCCTGCTGCATCCGAAAGGGGCACATTATCTCAATTAATGTTTCACAGCAAACGTGGCACTGATAGTATTCATGGGACTAAGGACTATTACCATTCGCATGGTGACTAGAACAAGAATTATGACTACGTGTGTTTTCTGCTGCAAGATTTGCCCTCGGGCTCTTTTCTTTTTTTTTTTCCTTGTGACAATGTTCCCTTTTTCTTCCTCCTTCTGTTTTGATTTCTACTTAAAGTTTTATGGCTCTGTCCCCTCCAGGGTGCTATTATCTTGTATGCTAATAGGGCTATGCATATTCTATTAGCGTTGTCAGTGTGAGATAAGAGGCACATTCTGTAAGGAGCACTCAGGGGGTAATAATCACAGCAAGGGGTCTCAATGTTAGTACATTATCAGTCATCTTCACATTTCAGTGGAGCCTGTTTATGCACCTCTTCAGCTGCGTAGCTCAGACACTGAAAATTGCTGAATGTTTACGGAAACTGTTGTAGGGGAACATAATGAGATTTGAGATTGACTTGATAAAGGAGCCTTCTCCCTTGTTGCTTCCAGATACAAGATGTTTGGAACTGTATGCAGTAAGTAGGATAATATGTTATATGGCAGTTAGCAGCTAAAAGCAGGCTCAGATCCGCATTTCAAGCAATAGGGCAGGCTATCTAGGAAGAGAATTCAGAAGGGCTTCACACCATCACTGTTTCTTCAGAAATTTTTCTTTCTCACTTTTCCGAGTGGTAACACAGCAATGAGTGCCTGGTACCCCTCCGTTGGAAGGCTGGCAATTTGTACAGCCTGTAGTTTGAACTTGAATAATTGTCAGTAGGCTCACAGAAGGAAAATGAGCGACGGTATGTGAAGGGCAAATGAGCGACCACTGTACTGTGTTAGTTAGATATCATCCCTTGGAACATGAAATAGTTGTCCTGCTGATGCTGCGGGCTGGCAAAGCAGGTTTCTGCTGCTGGAAGTGCCTGTTGTTTCTCCTGTCTGCTTGTCATAAATTTGGTGCCTTTTTGCAGACCACAGGAATAGAGCCTGATGAGGAACAACACAAAATGCTGGGGTGAGGAACTGCTCATGCATTCAGAATGGAGGAACAGACAGTTCTTGGAGACAGACTGGGAACTTTTACAATAGAACTTTTCCTTTCTGCAAATAGAAAACTAAACATCCTGTCACGGGCGAAGCCTTTAGGAGAGCCTTAAAATGTTGCTCAGTGTAAATATGCAAGTTCCTAAGTGCAGAGATGCCTAGCTAATTCCTGGGAAGCTGCAGTTATATGCTGGCTACAGCTGAACAATCATAACAAGGAGGAAAGGGCTATGTTTTGGATCACTTCTGTAGTACTTAAGATTACACATGGATATGAACACTCCTTACTTTAAAAATATTTGTCCTTGACATTTCCAGACACATGGCTCACACCAAATGTATTCAGCTCCATCTCCTGAGGGTCTTGAGATTAAAACCCCTGCTTTCTCACCTTGTGATCTGGCATTAATAGCTGATAGAAAAATCACATACATGACTGACATCTTCCTAGAAATGTGAGACTGTGGAATTAATGAATGCCATGCTGGAAAGCAGGGGTCAGTTTGGAAATAGGATTTCTGTTGCCAGCCATCTAGTCATAAACTGGACAATCTGCCGCTCATTTTTTTTCTTCAGCATTGAGGAAAATTGGTCTGGAGAATAAAGCAGTCAGAAAATAAGTAGCTGTGTTTCCTTGGCCACTGGAGGTTGATGGACTTTCACGGCTTGTGGAAATCGGGCTGACTTCTGTTTTACAGAAGAGATGTTTGCGCATTCTTTGTGACTGCTGTGTTCTTTATCCCGATGGTATCTGCAGGAAAAAATCTGCAGATCTACAAAGCTGAGTTTTCTATAGGCTCAGGTTGCTCAAGGAACTGCTGGGCAGGCACTGTGAGCCCTGGGGGAAAGGGTATCCCTGCCCTGCATGGGGAGAGGAGGCATTTCCAGCCCCAAAAGGCAGCAGCTGATAGAGCTGGAGAGAACGGGCCATGGAAAAGTCTGTTCTGTATGATTTTAAAATGATTATCTCAATGAAAAAATTGCACTTCTCTAGAAAGTAGAAAGTTTCATCATAGAAAGAATGTATTTTGCTCGTTTTTAGCGTGCACCCGAAACTTGGAATCCTGTGTTTTATGGGAGATCTATTTCTTTTTTTCCTTTTACTTCTTTCCATGTTTCTGTTCTCTGCCTTCATTCAAAAGCAAATGAAAAAACAGATAAAAAGGAGCTGGGAGAGAGGGTTGGAGAGGAAAATCCTTTGGTTACACTTTGTTCTTGCTAAAAAAGAGGAATATCTGATTAAAAAAAAAAAAGCACCACCACCAGTTCTGCAAACACTCCATTAGAGAATGACACACCATTCTTCACTGCTCTGCTGAGGTGGCTCTCACTGCCTCTTGGCTCTGCTGCAATCATTACTGCTGCTTCTGGTGCACACCGCAGGGAAACTGCAGAACTGAGCGTCCACTGAGCCAGGAAACAAATGCAGAAAGGGAAAGAACTGCATGTCTTCTTTTGCTGCTCCTTCTGCATCTCAACAGGGAAAAAAACCTCATTGTGGACTCCCTCTAAGTGCCTTCCCCACTACAGGTGTGATCAAAGGAAAGTTTAGTTTCGTCAAAGGAAGTCTGTATTCAGCTGATGCAGTCATTGTAAATGATAAACGATGGCTTAATAAAAGGCATAATATCAGCGTTTATTAAAAGAATAAAACCAGGGAAAGATATGAAGACACATCTATGGGATGCATTCTGGGGGTTCATTATTGTTCCAGAGCAACTTTTGGAAGAACAACTCCTAGTGCACCGTGTGTGCCTCCGTCTGTGGGCTCTGACTGGGAGAGCTGGGCAGGCGCTGCGCTCCCCGTTGCTGCAGGCAGCCCTGCCTGAGCTCCGTGACTCCTGGCAGCTGGGCAGAGCTGTGGGCTGGGAGAGGAAACGGACCCACAGCCACTGGTGTGCATGAGAGCCATCCCATGTTGATCAGTGAGCGCATGAACGCCGCGCGGGGAGAAATGTGGAAGCAATTACTTTAAGAGCCGTCTTTTGGGCAATTCCCAAAGAGACATCAGACCCTGTATTTATGAAGCCTATTGCATCGGGCCCTAATGAAGCAATTAAGCAAAGGGTCCTCTGTGTTTGATCTAAATGTGGTAATTTTTACAAAAACATCGCCGAGTGATAGATACCCATAACTCAGAGTCCTTAATTGTACTTAATTTGTTTGGAATACGAATGTGCATTTAATTAAGCTGGGGCTTTGCCCACATGTTTAAAGAAGGGCTGTCAAGGAAAATTAAGACCCAGTTTGTTTTCAAAGTTACTGGTTTTTATCAGGGCAGGACAGCGATCTTCGAACAGAAGGTTACAGATAATTAGGCAGAGACCTCAAGCCAAAAAAAAAAAAAGCAGAGACACTGTACAGCTGAGAAAGCAGGAAGAAAAACTCCTTGATGAAGAAACATAAGAATCGGCTGTTCACATCGTAAAGTCATGCATGGCTAGGATTTGGTAAATGTGACCTGCTGCTCAAAATGTGTTTTGCGTTCTTAAACTTCAGCAGTGTGGATGGAGCCTGGCTGCGATCTGTGGCCGAGCAGATGGCTCCAGCACCAGAATTGCTGCTGTTCTTAAGGGCCACTGAGAACTGATGGCATCTCTGTCAAATGACAGTAAAGCAAAAATGACAAAAAGCATTTTTCTTGCTTACTCAAATTTGCCGAATCTAAAGCACTGGCTTTGAAAGCTGGCTTTAAAGTTGTCTCTCCCAATCATGGAAATGGAGGAGATGTTTTTCATCCTTCTGGGAAGTGTATTAGTGTGATGAGAGGAAAGGGAGTTTACTCCTGGATCCCTCGTGCTTTTAATGTGCTGATACTTCTGTGGAAAGCAGCAGAATGCACTTTGTTACGAGCAGCAATATTTCAGTGTTAGTGACAAAAGTGGAGGAAAGCGTGTAAATAAAACTGTTGAAGCATCTGGGGATTTAAATCTGTTTGTTTTTGTTTTTGTTTTCCCCTTTATCTAGTCGAAAAATAAAGAATGAAAAATGAATAATGCTTCCACACTTGTGAAGAAGAGAAAAATTTAGATTCCAAAGAATTCATTCCTCAGCACAGCAGCAAACGGAGCCCACGTGTGTGCACTGCAAGCTCCAATTTCTGCGGCTCCTGCAAGAATCTCGCACTGGTTATCAGCTTCTCAGCGCTGTCATTTTTAATGTCATGGGGAAGCATTCATGTCAAGAGATTCTTATTGTGGAAAATAGTTTTCTTGTTGTTATCTTGCAGTCTAAATAGGTTAGAGGGCTGACAAAGAACGCTGTGAACACAATGCTGGTGAGCAGTGAAGGACGTCACAGAGAGCGACCTGTCTGCAGCACGATGGCGCATCTGCAACGGCTGGAAACTGAACCCACATTGCAGCACTGTCTGAATGGCCAAAGTCACACCGGGAGCGTTCAGCTGGGCTGCCACTCTGAGGGCAGGGGCAGCACTGCTGGATTAAGGATCACAAAATGCAGAGAGTGGGGAGAGTTTGTAAAGGTGCCCCATTGCTGGATGGCGTTGTCTCCTGCTTCGGAATCTGCCGCTAAGTGACGAGCTGCTCAATGAAGCTGGCATCTCCCTGGGAGATGGTACCTGGCCCTCTCTGCTTGGGTGGCTCCATTTAAAAGTTGGCAGAATACCCAGAACAGCATCAGAATTAATTTAGTACAAAATTAGTTGACTTAAAGTAAACAGAATAAAATAAAATAAATCCTATGGTATTAAAGGCCTCTTGGCTGGACTGCTGCATGCCTAACACAGATTTATGGCCTGCTGTTGCTAGAACTTTGAAAAGACTGTGCAGTGCACGAGAACCCTGCAAGGCCTGCTCCAGGGAGCGCCCAGCAGCGCAGGCGTGGGGGGGTGTGGAGGTGCTCCATGATAAGATGCTGGAGGGGAAGATGCTGTGGGAGAGCCAGAAAGGGCTCAGTGGGAACGGGAGGCAAGACAAAGGCAAGGAGATGCTGATCCAGCGTGCCACCAAAATCCAAGCCACTCCGAGGACGTCTCTCATCCTGATGTATCTGCTAAGCACATTGAGCCAGTCTGCACACGTGAGGCCAAAACACAATCCCTCTCATGGTAAATGGCAACGTCAGCTGCTTCGCTCTCTTACTGGTGTTTAAAATTTTTGCAGCAAATAACAGAAAATTTGAAAGGACATCAGAAATGGATTTACAGGGCTCCAGGGAAATCAAATCTTTCCTGTTCCAACAGCTTCTTTATCATAACTTGCTTTCTCAGTCTCTGAATGATGTTCTATTAATCCTGGTGTGCAGTGATTACTATTAAATGCAGAGCTGGGTTGAACCTCAAATTGTGAAATAACCTTTTCTCTGTTTTCTCTAAGTCCAGCATGGTAAATTTTGGATAGAGGTCTACTGACCAAGTGGATAATTGCGTTCCAATGCATCCTGTGAATAATGCAGATAAAAAACCTTCAGTGAATAATTCATTTTGCCTCCAATCAGTTTGAATTAGTCCATTCATGTATGTATCCTTTCCAGTCTGCCTGTCTCTGAGCATGCATGTATTTACATAGCAATGTTGTAATTCTCAGGTACTTAAATATCAGATAGCTGTTATTTTGTGCATATGTTCCTGACTACTTTGTGCAGTTGCATATGTAAAAGTCAGCATTATATATTTTATTGTATGAAACATGACACATCATATTGGCTGCTGTGTTGGCTAAGATTTAATACTAAAAAGCCTTCAAATGCAGGCAGATCTCTTTGGCCTGCCAATGGATTACAGAATAAATCTTTTGGGCTCTTCTGTGTTCAGATGCAAGTTTTCAGCAGTGGTGTATGTTGCCAAAGGTACCTTACTTTTACCCTGCCAGCAGCTAATGGGTGCTTCTAGGTCAAGCACAGCCTATGAGTAGGAGGAAGCACTTGGTTTTGGAGGTGGTGTTCCTGGAGGGGTATGGATAGCGCTGAAATTGCCTGTGCATCACTGATACCTGCAGCTCAGGAGCCTTCATCTGAAAAGCAGAGGGAAGGCGCTGATTTCCTGATGGAATGGCTGAGGCCTGGGGATGCTCCCAATGGAATGGGCTGTGCGTCCTCCTGCCTCAGACAGACAACAAGGTGTGAGCACACAGCTCCTAATGGGGGCTGGCAGACGGTTTATCTTTGCCTGAGAGGTCCTGCTCTGCTGAGAGAGGCGGATGCTCATTTTTATTCCTTGTTGTGGGCTTTTCAGTTTCCAGTCCATTACAGGTGACACAGCTGATAAGGAGCCTGTCTGTTAGCACTGTCCCTGGAGGGGCGAATCTTCATCCCTCCCTGCACTCAAACCACAGCTGCCTGCACGTAGTTTTTGAGATCACGCTGGGCACCAAGCGAGGGCTTCTGTGCTGGAAGCCCTGCCAGGCCCTGTGCCACACAGCCCTCTTGGCTCTGAGTGGGGCATGGCAGCTCCAGGGCAAACCTCTTCTCCACTGGCGATGTCAGTGCGTAAATGAATGCTCTGTCATTTTCTGATTGAGTCAGAAGCAAAAATTGTACAGCTGCTCTGCTAACAGCTCCAGCGCACTGCTTGGCAAAGAGGTGCCCAGCAGACAGCTTTGCTGCAGAGCCATCGCCCGTGGAAAAGAGCAGGAGACAAAACTCGTGTCTGATATTCAAAAAATTATTTTCCTAGAGTTGATCCCTATCTTCCAGCAACACCACAAGGAAAGTTATGTGGCAGATTGACTTGAAATAGTTCCTACTTGGAGCGAGCAGTCTTCTCATTTCACAGAAATCTTTATTTATACTTCAGGGATTGGAGAAAATGAAGCAACATTTCTACAGGATGGTGCATTGCTCCTCTATTTGTCCGACAGACCTGTGCTGAGTACTCTGCGTGGTTTTGATATAAAGCCAAGAATGGGTTGTAGAAAAATGTGTATCACTAAAAGTTAGGTCCCCAAAGTCGAAAGTAAAACAAACAGCGAGAGATCATTATCTGAAGCAGACCTTTACTGGCTCTGTACAGACAAAAGTCATTGCTATGTTTTGTTTTTCTTTTCTTTTTTTTTCCTTTAGACCAAGTAGTATTGCTGTCTGTATTTGGGAATGTCTTAGTCTGTACAGTTGGGCGGGCGGTGCATTTATTCTGCTTGTGCCTTTTCTCTTCTCTTTGAAAGCCTATCACTGGCTCAGGGTGGACTCTTTGTGTGGCCTTCAGAGAGTCACTTAACCTTCCTGTGCATCAGTTTACTCATTTGTAAAAGGAGTATTATAATAATAGGCACCCCTTAGGGGCTCTTCCAGATTTAAATAATTAATGCTGGTAAAGCGGTTTGTGAGCCTCAGATTAAAGGTGCTAAATAAAGGCAATATATAAATATTTTTTACTCCAACTCTTTATAGAAAGAGCAAAGCCATAGCCCGATAACTCCTGGATTTATAGCTGGGAGTTAATGTTACCGTGCTCAGAGGAAATTTTAATTTCTGTGGTTCTGATTCAGCAGAGCTCTTAATTCCATCCTTAATTTTAGAAAGGCCCATTAATTTCCAGAGGCATGGCTCCCAGCCTGGAGTGCTTTGTTGCATTAGTTCCTTTAAGAGCAGTGCTGGACAAGAAGGATCAGCTGTGCATGTATGTGCATACGTGTGCCATGTGTGCTCATGACCTCAGCAAGAGCATCGCTGCAACCAGAATACAATCAGCAAGCCTCTTCAAGGTAGCAAAATTCATCCAGGATGTAAATCAATAAATGTAACGGGAGAGAAACTACAAGCTGTGCATTTCCACGGAGGCTGAGGTTTGTGGGAGGGATAGAGGCTGCTGAGCATGACCTAATGCCGCAGGAACAAAAAGCAACCACAGACCTCAGCATCTAAACAGTCTGAATATTGAACCAGAGGTCTTTGAGTAATTGTCCTTTCTTCACTCTGGGGGTGAAAAGGGTACATTAGACATTCACTAGCTGCAAATGGCACCTGACATCTCTTTAAGTGAAAGTCAGCTCGGAATTTTTTTTAATGGCCAAGCATAAATCTTTTAAATTATAAATCAATAAATAGTTAATTCAATAATAGGAATCTTTTAAATATTTAATGAGTCATATGCAGAATGGCTCTATAACTGGATGTTGATGGAACTGTGTCAAAGGAATTTGAATCAAACTTTTCTAAACTCCCCATATTAAAATAGTTATTGATTCAAACATAAACTATGAAGACTGCTGGAAAAGGACAGGGGGGGCGGGGGCTCAGCATGAATTTTCTCACCCGAGAAAATGTAGAATTAGCAGCTTATTTTGAGTCACGTATTCTTGAGCCTTTCAGGTAGTTTTAGTGTTCCCAGAACAAAACTGAGTATGAACCTATGCAGACAGCACACTGTGTGTGTGCATATTCATTGAAATCTTGTTTTAGTGGCACCTATGCCCTTAAAGAAAAGCAGTGGCCATCTGCCTCTCGTTAAAGGATTCTGCTAACCAGCACTGACATCGATATCCTGAACTGTCTCTGTCTGAAACTGACCCAAAGTTTTAATTTCTTTACTAGAATTTGCATGTGGAAGACAGTGGAAATTGTACCTACACATGCTAGACCTCAATTAGCTTCTTTCCATTTTTTTTGTTTTAGGGGAGATCTGCAGTCAGTGTTTACTGCTATTAGATTTGTGCTGTGCTAAGTCAACAGTTGTATTTCTAAGTTCCCTAAACTGGAGGAATCTCATGCTTAATCCTGCAGACTGTTATTGCATAGCAGATACTGCATCTTCACGTTTTTTGGCTTCCAACCCTTACTTCCAAAGCAATTGTCTAGATCTTGTGTTTCTCTCTTCAGCTGGCGATGTGGACACAGACTTTCCTTCAGTGCTACTGCAGTGTTGGTATTGGTGCTCGTGGCAGTCTTGGTTTGTGAATTGCTGAGTAGTCTGTATTGTTCTCTTCAGATAAAAGGGTGGAAGGGGCAATACTGGGAGCAGGATGCCTCCTGAAGTCGTGCCGGGTGGTGTCAGGAACTTTGTCTCACTACACCTTACTGCATCCATTTCACAGGTGGCTAAAAATGGTTGTGTCCTGAGAAGGCAAAACTCCACTGTGCAGATTTCATCTCGCTGCCTTTGAGGGGAGAGACTCCTGTACGTGCACCAGGAGTCAGTTTGGTTGGTTCAGTATTTGTAGCAGTTCGGAGTTTCATTTGTATTCTGCACACCTCTGCTCTCCCCTCTCTGTGTATGTACATCCAGTGAGGCTGCCTGCATATCCTTGTGGTTGTTCTTTTTTTTCCCCAGGATGACAGATACTGTAATAATGACAGTAGATTAATATCTCCTTAATCAGCCAAATGAACATGACATACAAGGGTGACAGTTCAATTTGCTGCTAACAGATTGTGCCTATCAGAGCCCTTCCATTCCAACTGATGTTTATTTCTGGCAGAGATCATATGGTTCTGGGAGGACTTCGGCTCCCACCAGCTCATAGACACCCATTAAATACATCGAGTACCGCATAGGTGTTACTCACCCGCCTGTCAGGACACTGCCTGCTTGGGAAATTAAATGAGCCTTGACACGTGCAATGGAGAGGCACTGTCACTTAGCTGGGCGAAGCAGCAACATGTATTATTGACTATGTGCTGCTGCAGGTCCCTCTCTTTATTGCTTGTTATTTTTTGTTTGATGTGCACTGTTGGCTGCTGAAACACGGATCGGACAGCAAGTCTGTCTCCTGGGGAGACGCATAACGAAACGTAATGGGGAGGAAGTGCAGACGGGGCATTAGTTTGGGTAGAAGTGGTCCATTACAGAACTGGCGGTGCTCAGAGTTTGTTTGCAGGTGGGATTTCAGGAGGATCTGGTTTCTAATTCTGAAATGCAATCTGCAGGCTCTAATTCAAATCTTTCTTTTCCTGCTTCCGGCGGCACTTCAGACAGAGTCGCCCCAGATACTGCACAAAGGGCCCTGAGTCCTCCCAAGGGCTGGCGCTGCTCCCTACCCACCCGGGGTCCCTCCTCAGCCCTGCAGACCCGTAACACAACACCCAAGCCTAGATGGGCACCGCCATGGTGGGACTGAAAGGAAGCCTGGACTCTGTGGGCTGCGTTTCGGTGCCTGCGGTGTCGGTGTTTGCAGCCCCGGCTCTGGCCGAGGACCGAGGTGGCGCACTGTGTGCTGAAGGCCTGGCTTTGCTGCTGATGTGTGAATCTGTCTTCTGCACTTACAGGTCTGATCCCGCAGCCCTTGCTGCTCCCTATGGGACTGTAATTGATCAGGAGAGTTTTCACTTGCTGGATGAACCCCAGTTATTTATTTTCATAGCGACTCAGGCCAGCCATCTGCCTGCTTTTGTTTAGACACCCTCGCAGTGCCCTTCCCGCGTGCGCGAAGCTGCTTAATTTTGCTGAGTCCCACCCAAAGACATAAATCATATTTGTAGATCTCTGCAGCCCTCGTGCACGGACAGGGACGGCTGCAGAGCTGAGCAGCAGGCTCATTTCATTGCCCTCTGCTTTTGGGATAGAACTTTTTGCACATCTCCCAGCAATTCCCTTCAGAGAAGACATGAGCTGTGTTTGTTTTTGAAAGATAAAATGCAAGTAGTTTCAGTAAAAAAGGTTCCAAGACAAAATTAACAATAAATTACCCAAACAACGACATTAAAAGATATCCACATGATTGTAATTATGGAGATAAATCCTTCCAAAGGAGGGTGCTGTCATTTTCCATTCTTGTTACAATTGCTGTCATACAAATTTGTTCATTATTTTTATCATTTTTTTCTTCTTATTACAGGGTTTGTCATAAGAATAACTCATCAGGGTTTTATGACTAATAAATTCTCTAAATTACAGTCCAAGGATGCATTACTTTATTTTTTTTTTCCTCCATATTCTGTATTTTAATTGCCTAGCTATTTCCCACTGCCTTTTTAAATGACTCATTAGGCTTAGGGGGAAAGAATAGAATTTAGTCCTCCTAAGATTTCGCATTCAGTTCTGTACACCTCAGAAGGGAATTGATATATGACAGGGAGTAAAAATGTGACGTGTCTGGGGAGAAGACTTTGGGTTTTAGGTATGAAAGATCTCAAAACCAAACGAAGTAGAAACACTGAAGGAAGCCCCAGCCCAGGAATCGATTACTGAAGTTATTTGAACAATTATTTGTGATAAGAAATGCATTTAAAATGTGCATGATTTTGTAAGGTATAAACACGGACGTAACCTTGACGTGTAAGTAGGTGTCCTGGGATCATTTGGGAGTTCTGAAGACTGAAATCAGGAGCTCCGTAAGCACTGTGGAGCCAGGAGCGCGCACAGCCTGAGGTGGCACTTTTGGTTGTATGTTGTGTTTATAGATTGAGCTCAGATGAGGGCAAACAGCAGCCAGGTGAGCACAGCACCTCTTGGGTCCCTCTTCTGGAATAAAAGGGGGAAGAAAAGCAGCTTTGAGTTTGCTGAGCCCCCGGCCCGTTCCAGCACTGACACAGCCTGTCAGAAACACGCTTCAGGACAACCTACCATGGTGCCTATGTAAGCAAAGCAGGCCCCAAAATGCTTTTCCAAATGCCACTGCAGGATGGTTTTCCTTCCTTAACTCGAATAGCCGTGTCTCGCATGCCTGGCCTTGTTTTGAGAGAGATGTGAGCCCCAAAGGAAAACATCACCCACCAATTCCAGAGGCACAAAGTCCTGTCTTCCAAGTGGTCCTGGAGACCCTGTCCGTGTGGATGGACCATGGCTGTGATCCTCCTGCCTTCCTCATACATGTGTGAGCACCAGCTACTGAAACTGTGGCAGGGCTGATCTGGGAAGCTCACTTTCTTTCTTTACTCGGACAGCATTGTTGAGATGGTCGGTCCATCCTATGGCACGCTGAGCTGCAACAGAGGAGCGCTGTGCTGGGCTCACAGCCCCTCACTCAGGTGCAGGGGGTTTAATTGTTGGAGACAAGCCCAAAGCACAAGTGATGAGCCCAGGACTACAGGCTAACAAAAGCAGAAAAATAGTTTTACGACAGTGAATACCACACAAATCTCTCTAGAGGGGAGCAGAGAGCTATTTCTACAGGAAGGCTTGATAGTTTATGTGTGCTGCACAATCAGGAGCAACAGAAAAGCACTCTTTGTCAAGTGTGTTTCAGGTGGCAGCACAGGTTATGCTAGTGGCAAAGTCCTTAAATATTCACCTCCATCACTGGCTCAGCAGGGTTTGGCTCCTGCAAAAGCTGCGCAGCACTTTTCCTGCAATTGCAGCTCTCTGACCAGAGCTCTTCTTGTGCAGAAACAGATGGAGCTTGCAGGGAACCAGCTCTGAGCTGGGGGCTGCCTAATCAAGACTGAAAGTCATGAGGAAAGAGCCCAGGCCTCGTGTCCATGCTTCCAGGATGGCAGCTAATTATTTCACAAATGTGAGTGTTATTCAGATGCACTTCCCAGCATTTTTCCTCCCTCTGCTGACCGTGAGCAGTTTGCTGTGAATGTCTGCTCATGCATGTTCAGAGATGTCACCGGGTGCCTACTTGGGCTTCATTCACAAAATCACAGGTTTGGGAAATTGCTCAGTGCATTCAATGCGGGGTGCAATCCTGCCTCACTGGAGCTGGTGGAAAAAAGGCTATTAGCTACAACCCAAGGTTTCGGAAAATCTTCTTTTCCACTAAAACTGTTTTTTGTTTTTTTTTTCCTTTTTTCTTTCCAAATCCTAAACTGGCACGATGTTCTAATCACTACGTAGATTTTAATGAGTATCCAGGCTTTTGGCAGCACAACGTGTTTGTTTATGTACACAGGCCTGGCTTTTTCAATAATTAGGCTCAGAGTGGACACAGCTGACTGCTATGGCTCATGCCCTGGAATCCTGGCCTCCCTTTTGGGTGCTGAAGCAGGTGGAACTGGTCCTGATCAGAGCATCAGGAGTGTGCAAACCCAAAAGTGCAGCTCAGTGCACAAATCTGTGCCATGTTGGCTGGGAGCAATCTGTACAGTAAGGTGTGGGTCACACCAAGAAGTCTGCTGCCCCGAAGGGCTCTGAATGCAGGCTCAATTAAAGGGCTGAAACATCTGCACGTGTGTCTGCAGGCCATGCTTTCTCTCTGATAACTCAAGTCCTGATGTGCGTTAACTGCTTAAAACCAATTTCATCACAGTTAAAATTGAATATGACTGTTGCTCTAGAAAATATGGCCTATTTCCTTTTACTAGTTAGCTTTTAAAGGTGTTTTACAATTCAAATGAGCCATGCAATTAAAGGTGACATTGCCAAAACTGGACAGACTAAAATTAGACATTCCTGCTGTGTGTTAGAGCTTGGCCCACATTTAGCTCACGCTGTCTTTGGGCTGTACCTGTCTGCTCCAATCTTATGAGTCAACAGGATACTGAAATGTTCCAGAATCCTGCCCTTTGTGTTTTTCTGTTCCTTCTGTCTTCCAGCATTACCTTGTCCTTCCTTCTCTGGTTAGCATTTCATGCTCTAAACCACACTCATGGGCACACACACGTGTGCATACATGCGCTCCGAGCAATATTTTAGCATTTTTGCATTGAGATCAAGGAAGCACCTCGTTATTATTAAGCTTACTTACTCGGCCCATAATTAGAAACAATCCCAGAGTCTACAATGCTAACAGCAGGCAGCAGGCTTCTTTGCTAATAAACCGAGGTCCAAAGAGGAGCTTCAGCCATGCTCGATTCAGGCTGCAGTGCTTATGCTTGCGTTGATCTCCATAGCTTCAGTGGAATACTTTAGCTACAAGGCTGTCTTGAAAAAAAGATGATTTTTCCACCTGTGGATGAGAGCCTGGAGCAGCACGGCGGGTTTTGGAGTCCTTGAGGAACACAC